ATTTAACTATGTGCCAGGCATTCTACTAAAGTGCTTTGCAATCATTATCTCATTTGATCCTCACAACAACCCTGGGAGGTAGGTGTTATTATTATTCCCATTTTACAGATGAGGAAACTGAGGTTAAGTGACTCACCCAGGCTCAATCGGCTAATAAATGTCTGAATTTGGATTTGAACTCGGGTCTTCCTGGTTCTAGGCCTAGCACTGTACCTAGCTGGAAGGAGAGCAGAGATATGGCAGATCCATAGAAAACCCATCACTATCAAATACTAATTCTGAAGGATTAGTTGTATATGTATATGTATGTGTATGTGTATGGATGTGGATACTTATGCATACACACACGTAACTAAGGAATACAGGCCTCTGCTCTTTTCCTCTTTGCATTTTCCCCCCTACTTTGAAGGATAATTGCTAGGCCAGCATCTATGCTAAGGAAGCAGCCGGACAATTTGGCATTGATGCCAAAGACATTTAGGAACTAGCCTAGTGATCGTCTATGTGCTGCATTTGGATGTGAGCTTAGGGGAACCATTGCTAGGTAGAACTACATGAAGCCTAAGCCCACTCTGATGGGAAACCTATGTAGGATGAGCCTCCATAGGTGTGAAGGGGGAAAGTTGATACTTCTTTCTGCGTCTTCAAAATAACTACATCTTTGTAAAAGCTATTTGATATTAATAGTTAAAAGTGAGGGGGCCAACACACTTGGAATGAGGTCTTGAGGCAATATCATTAGAGAGGAAAGTCTCCAATCTCTCAGGGTTTCCTCTAGAAGAGAAGGTTTTGAAGAAAAGATGAGCTCATTTTGGGACATGTTGAGTTTAAGGTGTCTAAAAGGTAGTTGGAGATTCAAGACTGGAACTCAGGAGAGAAGAGAGTACTGGACAGCTGGATCTGAGAATCATTATCATACAGATAATCATTGAATCCATGGGAGCCAATGTGATCAAATAGTGAGACAAGATCGGAAAAGACGGGAAGAGGTTCTAGAACAGAACTTTGGGGCCTGGTACAGATGTAGATCCAGCAAAGGAGGCAAAGAAGGAGGGGTCAGATAGGTCGGAGAAGAATCTGGAGAAAGTGATGTCATGAAAACCCCAAAGAAAAAGAGTGTCATGGAGTAGAGGTAGACATGTAGCTAGTCTCACTCTGGGAATGAGGTCAGAGTATGGATTATAAAAATATAACATTCGAATATGTTTTATTGATGCCTTTTATCTTTTTATCTCACAGAATAACAGAATTTTAGAGATGAAAGGAACCTCAACAATTATCTAGTCTAATCTATTACTGAAAAGGAAACTCCGTTATAACATAGTGAGCATCTAGCCTTGACTTGAAGACCCCCAAACAAGGGAAACCCACTATGTTTTGAGGTAGCCCATTCCTTTTTTGGACAACTGTAATCGTTAGGAAATTGGCCTCTTTGTAAATACCACCCGTCACTCTTGGTTCTGCTCTGTGGTGCTTAACAGGGGCAGCTAGGTGGTACAATAGTGCACAGAGTGTTGGGCCTAGAGTCAGGAAGACCTGAGTTCAAATTTGACTTCAGACACTTAACTAACTGTGTGATCCTGAGTAAGTCACTTAACTGCTGTCTGCCTCAGTTTCCTCATCTGTAATATGGGGATAATAATAACACCTACCTCCCAGTATTATTGGCAGGGTCAAATGAGATAATAATTATAAGGCTCCTGGCACACAGTAAGCATTATATTCATATTAGCTATTAAGCAAAACTAGTATTATCCTTCTTTTATATGGCAGCTCTACAAATACTTGAAGATGTTCCTACCTCCCAACCCCCCAGTCTTCTCTTCTCTAGGCTTTCAATCCATATCCCCTCCATATTGACCATGTGACAAAGAAAATCAAGCAAAAACATCATCAAAAGCAACATCTGACAATGTTGCCAACATTTTGTCCTTCTGTATATTTAAATATTTTAAAGTCCACCATTGTAACACCTTTTTGGAGTAGTAACCTTCCTGTCCTGGCAATAGTTTGAGCTTCTCAGATGAAAGCGGCTTGGAATTTTTAGACTTTGAGAGATCTATTTGATAATAATAATAATAATAAACAACAATAATGGGTAGCATTCATATAGCACTTTGAGGTTTGCAAAGCACTTTACGTGTGTCATCTGATTCCAAACATCATTATCCTACTGCCTAGTTCATAGTAAATGCTATAAAAATCTTTATTGAGGGGCAGCTAGGTGACTCAGTGGCTAAAGCACTGGCCCTGGAATCACGAGGACCTGAGTTCAAATGTAAACTCAGACATAACACTAGCTGTGTGACTCTTAACAAGTCACTTAACCCCAACTGCCTCACCAAAAAAGGAAAAAAAAATCTTTCTTGAGTTGGTGACTTGATTATGGTTGGGGGGGGAGGTGTGGTTTAAGTGTTACAGTACTACTTTTATTTACTCATCTAGAAAGTTCTCTGCTACACAGTTATAAATATGGAAAGGGTAGGTAGAGCTAAATTCTATTCTACATCAAATATATACCATATGAATAGTTTTGCATTTTTCCATTCAGAAAATAGGAATCATGCTCAACTGAATGAAATGTTACTCTAGATACATAATAGACTGATTTTGACAGCTAATTTTTCTTGTAATTAGCATGGATAAAGACCAATAAAGAAGGAAAAAATAAAATCAAATATACTATGTTTTCCTTATTCCTTCCACTGTATCTATAAACCATTCCATTATATTTCAGGGTTTCAATGTGTTTTTTTTAATTGAAATTGATCTCAGTATGGTAGGAGAAAGTGATTGATTAGAAGGATACAAAGCAAGTATTCCTGAAAGAAATCTTGAATTTTGACCTTTCCCCTAACACATCTGATCATCTTTCCCTACCACTATTAGATTTCTTGCTTGATAAAGGTTTCATTGATTTCCTTCTGACCATAAAAAACAAAAGCACGAAAATTAAGAGTTCATGTCAGTTCAGAAGAGTGTTGGGATTCCTTATACACAGAGAGCTTATTTATAAAACAAGGCATATCTGTTACATATTATTATATACTTTTGTGTCTTATAGTGTCTAAGCATTTTATGATTAGGAAAGAAAAGAAGAACAAAGTGTTTCATGACATTATGAGCAGACATCGAAGAATGGTTTGAATTGGATAGGAGCTCAGAATCTCAAATTTGTTCTTAAAATAAAGGTTTCCTATTTTAAGAAGGCTAATTTAAAATTGAAAGCTAACTGTAACATTTTACATTACAGTTAAAAGTACTGTAGTTAGCACTTCATCAGGAGATATTCATTAATTTACTGAAAGAAATATATTAGGTGTTTATTGTATATCTAATACTGTAATGATCAAGTTGGAAGAATTTAAAAAATTGAAGATTAGGTCTCCTTCACTCATACTCTAGCTAATTTTATGATTAAGATTCCATTCCGTTTGGCTTAGCAAAAGTATTTTTATGATTATTAGCATTTTTTTAAAGCAATATTCAATATATCTTATTATTTAGCTGTGTTTGAACTACCTACCTAGAAATCTGTTAAATGGCACATAGCAATCAATCCACAAACATTTACTAAGTACCTAACACATGCTAAGTACTGTGTTTGGCCAGGTTCTAGAGGCATAAAAACAAAAATGAAATGGTCTCTATTTTTTTTTTGTGAGGCACTCAGGGTTAATCGATTTGCCCAGGGTCACACAGCTACTAAGTGTAAAGTGTCTGAGGCTGAATTTGAACCCAAGTTCTCCTGACTCCAAGGCCAGAGCTCTAGCCACTGTGCCATCTAGCCATCCCAAAATGGTCCTTCTTCTTAAGGACCTTTATATCCTATCGGGAGAACCGACATGAACTCATCTAACTCTATCTAAAAGTATGCACAAAGAAAATATAAGATAAGAGGAGACACTGGTATCTGTGATTATCAGTAAAGGCTTCATGTGAGGAGTGCATGAGCTGTACTTTGAAGGAATTTAGGGATTCTAATAGGCAGAGGTGAGCAGGAAGGGCACTCCAGGCATGTGGCACAGCCTGGCAAAAATATGGAGCCTAAAGACAGAATGTTGTGTACAGGGAACACAAGTAGGCCAGTTTAGGTGTAACAGTATGTGAGAAGGAGAGTAATGAGTAATAAGCCTGGAAGCATATGTTGGAGACAGATTGTAAAGGGCTTTAAATATCTCTTAGGGCAATTTGTATTTTATCTTAGAAACAGGTGGGGAAGGAGGGAGAAAAAAAGTATACAGCAGAGAAGAAAAGAAAAATTAGAAGGAAACAGAAAAGCAGGGTAGCTTTGAAAATCATGTAGTATTTATTACATAGTTTTTCAAAAAAGGAAACAGTGTGAAATGGAAATTTATTTTAGATTGAATCTTCTTATGTTGTGCTGTGTACATGGAAATGGTTTTTTTTGTCTTTTTGAATTTAAATTCAAAATGAATAAAAGTTTTTAAAAAATAAAAAATTTTTTTCAATTAAAAAAAGAAACAATAGTGAGCCCTGAAGCTCTTCAGGCAGGGGAATGAAATGATCATATTTTGAAGGGCAAATGATGAGTTCATTTTTGACACAGTGAATTCGAGGTTGATGGCCTAGGTCTAGAAGGCCACATCTAGCAAACAGCTGGCATTCAGAGGAGATGCTGAGGATTTTCACGGAGATGCTATTTGAATCAATGAGAGTGAATAAGATAGTCAAGGAAAAAAGGTATAAAAAATAGAGGATTTAGAACAGGGTCTTGGGGGAAAGCCCATACTTAATTGTGTAGAAGTGAGAGGAGAAATCAGAAAAGGAGACTAAGAAAGAATCATCACATAGGTATCAGAGAACCCTGAGAGAAGAGTGCCACAGAATTTTGGAGATGATGTGTACAAAGAGAGGTGGGAACATCCTTAAGTATTGTATAAAGGTCAAGGAAGACAAAGACTGAGGAGAGGCCTTAATATATGACAAGCTTAATCATCTGGATCACTGGAGACTTTGGAGAGAGCATTTTTAGTATAATGGTAGAGATACAAGCCAGACTGCAGTGGATTGAGAAGTTGGTAAGGAAGGAGGAGCAGTGAGTAAAATTTTTGTAGTGGAGTGTAAGAGAGGCATGAGATAATAGCTTGAAAGGGTAGTAGGGTCAAGAAGAGGTTACTCTATTCATAGTCATATGCAAACAGCCAAAAGAAAGGGAGAGATTGAATATGAGAGAGAATGACCGATGTGGCAAGGTTCCAGAGGATACTAGAAGAGATGGAATTAAGAAAGCCAACTCATTCTTTGAGGTCAGAAGGAAAGATGGGTGACGTTTTGAAGTCTGGGGGAAGGGAGATGAGGTGATAAGAGCAAATAGACTCACATTAAAGCAGACAGTCTTATAATACAATGTAGGATGGAATAAGCATAACACACAGTTCATTTTGGACATCTTCCAAAGGTCTCACCTCTAATGAGTAGTGCTATATTATAGATTCCACCTCCTCCTCCCCCATAACATGATAGGGTACTAAAATTTCAGAAAACTGAATATGATTGCCTAGTCATTATTAGCTGAAATGACAGGGAATTTCCCTTCATTAATACTTATATCAGAAAATCCCACGTTCCTTGTTTATTTCATCATTGTGTTAATGCAAATCATTGGAGCATAAGAGAACTTTGAGTACTAAAGAGGCAATATCAACTTAAATTTATTCTGATAGTGTAGTCCTTTGCTTTGTACTGCCCAGTGTCATCATGATTTATCATTGATTACTAAGAGTACTTGGGTTATTATATTGTTGTTGTTCAGTCATTTCAGTTGTGCCCGACTCTTCGTGACCCTGTTTGGGGTTTTCTTGTCAAAGATACTAGAGTGGTTTGCCATTTCCTTCTCCAGCTCGTTTTACAGATGAGGAAACTGAGGAAAACAGGGTTAAGTGTCTTGCTCAGGGTCACACAGCTAGTGAGTGTCTGAGGCCAGATCTGAACTCAGGTAGAGGAGTCTTCCTGACTCCAGGCCCAAGTCCTATACTCTAATCCACTGTGCCACCTAGCTGCTCCAGGTTATTACTGTGTATAATAGTAATGAATAAGCCTTCTGATTGTTATCTTTGTGTAACTGATATTTACATAAAAAAGGGGTAGTAACAGTAATCTAAACTAGCTCTGGGTGTTTACTCTGCTCCCAAAGGGCGGTGGGCTTTTGTTCACATTTTTATTTACCTTAGCCTAGGTCCATATTACACCTGCTAAATAGCTAAGGTGCCTTTAAAAATATAGATTGATATCTTTTATGTTTATATCACCTTCATTTCTGAATATGACAACCCCCCACTCCCATATGCAGCCAGTCTCTCTTTTAACAAAGAATAAAAAGTGGGAGAAAAAATAGTTCAGCAAAATTTGTCAATGCATTGATCATGTCTGACAGCATATGTAACATTTTTTCACCCATATTTCCTTGCCTTTGAAAAGAAGGGATAGAGATATACCTTCTCAATTTTTTTTCCTTGGGCCAAGCTTAGTTCATTACAATCCTTCCACAGTTTCATTTTTTTTAAATTTTCTCCATTTATATTGAAATAATTGGGTGTATTATTTTCCTGGTTCTCCTTCATTCTCTGTCAATTCATATATGTTTTCCTATGCTTCTCTGAATTCTTCACACTTATTTCTTACTGTACTTCTTAGCCTATTTGGATTACATTCATATAGCAAATTTGTTTCACCATTCCCCAGTCGATGAACACGTACTTTATTTCCAGTGTGTGTGACTTCCTTGCTACCAAGAGGGGGTTATAATGAATAATTGGAAGTATATGAGACCTTTCTTTCTGTTCTTGACCTTTTTGTGGCATATGTCTGTCAGAAGAATCTCAGGGTCAAAGGGCATGAACATTTTATTCAATTATTTAGTATAACTCTAAATTGCTTTCCAGAACAGTTTGATCAATTCATAGTCTCACCAATAGTAAGTTAATATGTCTTGTCTTTCCTTTCAGCCCCATCAGCATTGACTATTTTCATCATTTGTCATTTTTGCAAGGTATCTTTTTTAAAAGGTGCTTTAAATCACTATAAAAATTAATTTTTAGAAAGCTGCCAACACTACTAACCTTGAAACCAGAAGTAAATTGATAGTAGTATCTCCTATAAATGTAGAGACTGTATTTTCCAGCCTAAAAATACAGACATTCATTAGTCATTCAAAGCCACAGTTATGTGCTATATTCCTTACACTTGACAGATGTAGGATTTTAGTAGTGTAAATATCCCTTCTACTAGTGCTAATCCATACTTTTAAATCCTGGGAGTTTCCTTTTTTAAAAAAATATTTTGGTCACCTTAAATAAATTTGTTTCGTGTGATTTTAAGTCCTTTAGACATTGAAACAGGTCAGGAATATAAGCAAAGGCTCAGAATGAGATACAGGCTTTTTAGCTCCAGAATAGAAAGTTTCTCTTTGAAGATGGATAACTTAAAGTCTCCATTCACTCTTGGTCTTCTGTAGCTTGCCAGAATGTTTCCCAGAGAAAAACAAGTTTGCTTCCCTTATGCAGATAATTATTCCAGAAATCTGGAATAAGGCAAATAAGTACACTGATGTATTTGGATTGGAGAGAGGTAGGTAGCATGGTATTTAATGCCACTTTTAGTTTTCTGTGCAATTTAACACAGTGCCTGGGACATAGTAGGTGCTTAATAAATGCTTGGTGATTTGACTCGGCTTCTATCTTTCTTCCTGACTTATCCCTAGGTCCCTCCTTCAGCAAATGCATAAAGCAGAGCAATCTATAAACCGCCCCTTCTCCACCACCCTCTTTCTTTTATAGTGCTATTGGCAGAAAGGCTGGAAATCCTTGGGAATATAAAAATTTCCCAGGATATCAATGAATCTTGGGTAGTTAATCTATTTCTGATGCCTGTCACTCCCAGCAAGAATATTTTTTCAATTCTACCAGTACAAGTAGATAAGGCATAACTATGTCTCTCCTCTAAACTTTTCGTCATCCTTTTACACAGGCTGGTCAAGTATAAGACCTTTTACCTGGATTCTTATAATTGCTCAAGTCAATTCAAGAAATATTTATTGAGAACCTAGCTTGCAAAGGGCAGCTAGATGGCTCAGTGGATAGATCAGCGGGCCTGGAGTTAGGAAGGGACAGCTAGGTGGTGCAATGCATAGAACACTGGGCTTATTACATCTGACCTCAGATACTTACTAGCTGTGTGATTCAAGGTAGATCATTTAACCCAGTTTGTCTCGGTTTCCTCATCTGTAAAATGAGCTGGAGAAAACCCCAAATGGGGTAACAAAGAGTTGGATAGGACTGAAACAACTGAACAAAGCTGTGTAAGTTAACAAGTCTCTTAACCTCTGTTGGCCTTAAGACACAGGAGAAGGAAATGGCAAACTACTCCAGTATCTTTGTCAAGAAAACCCCGTGGACAGTATTGGCAAGCTATGGTCTGTGGGGTCACAAAGAGTCAGACACAACTAGCAACTGTGTGTAAAGCAATATTCCTGGGGATACAAAGACAAATGAAACCATTCTTTTTCTTGGCTTACAGCCTGCTCAAGGGATAGAACACAAATTTAGATATACAGTAGGGAGTAAAGGGTGCGAAGGAAAGCTCAGACAATGAGCTATAATTCCATTTGAGGAGTAAAGAGAGCACCAGTCGCTGAGACAAGGGATTCAGGGAAAACTTGAAGGAGATGGTATTATCTGAGCCAAGGCTTGAAGAAAGAGAAGAGTTCTGAAAGGCTGAACTGAGGAGGGAGTTCTAGGTGTGGAGGCTGGTGTGTGCAAATACCCAGAACTGAGAGATGCCACACTTAGTTCAGTGAACAGATAGTTGTCTGGTTTGACCAGAATATAGGATATATGAAAGGAAGTATGAGAAAGAAAACTGGAGAATTCTATTAGAGATAGTTGACAGGAGAATTTAAATGTCAGACTAAAGGGAAGAGAATTAATGAAAATCATGAAGAGTAAAATCATCATAGCTATACTTTAAGAACATTATTTTGGCATCTCTGTGGAGGATAAATTAGAAATGGAAGAGTTTGGTAGCAGGGAGAACAAGTAGGAAGCTACCGTTATGGTTCACATTGACTCAACATGACTTGGCAACTATCTGAATATGAGGAATAAGGGAGAGGGAGGAAAACAGTAAAGGTTCTTGAATCCATGAAAATAAGCATCTGTTGAAGGAACTACGGATAGTGCTCATGGAGAAGAGAAGGCTATGAGAAGATATGACATCTTTAAGTACTTGAAAGGCTGTCCTGGGGAAAACAGATCAAACTTATTCTGTCTTTGCTCAGAGGTCAGACTTAAGAACAAGGAGTAGAAGATGAAAAGAGGTGATCTAAGCTTGATGAATTCTAACAATCAGAGCTTTCAAAAGTGGAACGGGATATCTTCAGAAGTTTTGGATTCCCCCTCATTGAAGATCTCCACACAAAAATTGAGTGTGTTATAGTTCATATTTTTTTTTCAGGTATATTTGGATTAGATGGCAGAGAGGTCTCTCCAAACTTCGAAATTCTACGATTCTGAAATCTCTCAAAATTCCTGAAGTTTTCATGTTATCTCATGAACCTCAGCTGACCATAGATTTAAAGTGGGAAGTGACGTTAGACCTAGTCCAATCTCTTTCATGTTAAAGATGAGAAAACTAAGACACAGAGAGGTTAAGTGACTTGCCCAAAGTCTCATTGTTAGTACAGAGGCAGGATCCAGAGCTAGGTGCCCTGATACCAAATGTAGAGACCCTTCCACTGACTCACACTTTCTACCTTTATGTGTACTCACCACATAAACTTGCAGTCCTTACAACTCTTAAGGAGCTGCTGGCTTTGGGATTAAGTATGAAGCCAGCTAAAGCAGCCCATGGAAAACTGGTCCACACCTCACTAAGTTGTATTCCAGGAGTGAAGAAAGCAGTCCTTCCCTTTTTACTTTCCTAGGCAGGCTTGGAGTCAATGTTTACACTAACTAATTTGATACGTTTTCACACTTTGAGCTACTCCTTACCACTTCTTTGTTCTCAGATCAATCACTAAATA